GGTGTGTGTGTGTGGTGTGTGTGTGTGTGTGTGTGTGTGTGGTGTGTGTGTGTGGTGTGTGTGTGTGGTGTGTGGGTGTGTGTGTGTGTGATGTGTGGGTGTGTGTGTGTGTGATGTGTGGGTGTGTGTGTGCGGTGTGTGTGTGTGTGTGGTGTGTGTGTGTGTTGTGGTGGGTGTGTGTGTGTGTGTGTGGTGTGTGTGTGTGTGTGTGTGTGTGTGTGTGTGTGTGTGGTGTAATGATGTGTTGTTTATTTGATGAAATATTTTCTCAAATTAACCTAAATAATCTAAAGGGATCTAATGGCATTCTATTTGACTTCCTGTCCATAACCTATCCGTGGTCCAAACTTAATTGATACACCCTGTATAATTTTATATATAATTATAAATACAGTTATATAAACTTATATATAATTTTATATAATTTTATATAATCATATATAAAATATTTTTTCCCAGGTTAAATAAAATTATTAGGGTGCATAAAGAATCATTTCCTGACTCCTCAAAAAAAAAGTTGTTTACCGAATAAATGATTGTGATGCGTTTTACGTATTGGTCAAACGGGTAAAAAATTAAAAACCCGTTCAAAACATTGTAACCATATTAAAAGAAATACATCGCATTCGGCTATAATAGAGCATAGGACGCATTACAATCATGAATTCCGTTGGGAAGAGGTGGAAATTTTGGATGTGGAAAAAAATTTCAATAAGACTCAATATTTATATGTTTATATATGGGTTATTAATTTTATCGAGGGGCATTTCACTCTCGAAGCCAAACGAATCAACGCGAATCAATAACATTTGACTTGAGAATGAAATGCCCCTCGAATTTTACATACCCTCAAAAACATCAAATACATATTAATACTGATACGAAGCGAATTCGTAAGAATTATTTTGTACTGTTGCTTATACTCTACAATCTCAGATAACCAAGCGTGATATAGCACATTGTGCGAATTAATGCATTGCATATGTTGTTATATATTTGTTATACAATTGCTGACATCAAAGTAGGACATCAAAGTAGGACATTATGAAATACAACAACATTACTGCTTATATATGTCAATCAGTTATTGAAATTTCTAGAGCAAACTGTGAATTGATGATATATTATGTCCGCAACATGACTGCAATATGTTAACAACGAATAATCGTTTCATCTTAAGAATCATGATAAAAATATGACAGCAACAGAAGTTAGCCCAGCCCACTTTTTCAAACATAGACTGCATGGGCAGCGTGTTGGAGAGGTAAGAGAGGAAGCACGCCGTTGCTATACTTCGAGCGGCCGAAGCATTTCTATCGGCGTGCTCTCATTAGTACAATTGCAAATATTAATATCTCTGTTATTATTATGAATACCGTTAAACGGTAAAGGACTTTTATGTTTATTTCGATCCCATCTACCTTCTTGTGAGCGGTTGGAAAAGTTTCGCGGGACACCCTATAATGATTTCCATCGGTTGTTGCAAATATGTCTTCAAGCTATAAAGTTTTTTAATTGCAATTCGTTGCTAACAAAATGCTGACAATATGAAATGTTACACGTTTTCGAATGATAGTCGAGGATATTTATGCTGACATGTTGCCATTACAAGAATTCGAATTCCGTTGAATTCAACACGGCAGACATAATGCTGTCTTACCTTGTCATGAGTTTGTTGAAATTGATTGCTGCAACATGTCAACAAACACACTGCATTTGGCTATCTGAGATATTGTAAATTCTTTTTGTCTATATGTTTAAATGTTTATGGAAGAATTTCGATTCTGATTGCACATTGTTTATATATTCACTGAGAAAAATATCCAATAGCTTCTCTAGGCTGGCATTACTACAGAATATAGGACTTGTGGCATTATTATTGATGTTGAGGTCATCAAACACGTGTCTCTAGCACGAATTTAATTTTTATTACATATTCTTTTTTATTCTTTGTCATATTCTTGATTTATTCTTATTCTTGGCCGTAAAAACTATTAAGAAACGGATATTTCTCATCAGACATTCTGATGACTCTATTTACGATTAAATATATATGATCGATCAAAATAATTGGAAATATCCGTTTGTTATTTTTTGAAAAGCTAATCATTATGATTCGAAAAAGCCTTGATAGTTTTCTCAGTGTTTATATTTTATCAATTTCGTATAGATTACTTTAAAGAAATTGTATCACACTCACAATTGTGACAACATGTATATAATTTTATCAGGGTTAGCAAGTTAATTTTTTTTTTAATTAAGTTAAGAATAATAAATATATAATTTAATTTTAAATTGTATAATCGTTATACAATATAAAATTACTAAATTGTATACTTATTATTCTCTCACATTGTGTCTGAGGATTGACCTCAAAAAAATCAAATTAAAAGTTAATAGTTATCAATAAAATGTAGCTAAATTAAATTAAAATTAATTAACTTTTTAACTTAATTTTTATCTTTCTTAGCACTACCAACCCTGAATTTTATATATAATTATATCTATATAATTTTATTTTATATATGATTATATGTAATTTTATATATAACTGTATATAAATATGTATATAGGGGT